ACAATACCAATATGGACTGAATAGGCAATGCACGTGTCAAACCACACTAAAAGATTAAATTCAATCAATTAGCTAATACATAGCCTTATAAAGTTATAAACTCATATGTTTTTCTCTTATTTTATGTTTTCCATCTCAACTAAAAGTCTAAACTGATAATTGGACTGCACATTTATGTTTTTATATTATATGCTCAACACACCCCCTAATGTGTGCGAGCCCGTTACTTTTGACGGGCTCCAAGCAACACGTGGACCATAGTCTCTTTTTATCGGGTGGTGCAGAGATACCAAATCTCAACTAAAAACCTAGGCTGCTAATTGGACTGCATATTTATGTTTTATATTATATGCTCAAACAAGCATCATCTAATCACAAATCCAGTAGTTATCAATAATGTCAGTAAGCATTAATAGTAGAACAGCATTGCATAACAGCTCTCCATTCACTTATCTCCAGAATCATTTACGTGAAGAAACATTTTGAAACAAATTAACCATTCCAAAATAGTGAAAGGAAGCTTACTTCAACTTGTAGATGCAATTTACTTTGGACTTCCATCTGAACTCTCAATGCCTCCTTGACTTCATAACCCCTGAAGTCGGTATTCAATCTTTAGAAAAGCTTAAATCCCGTATTGGAACTTAGAAATTTACGCACTGTATAGTTCACTAAAGCAAAGAAACAAACAATTAGCTCTTACTCATTTATATCAGGAGCAGGAAGGTTTTGAGGAGCACTGTTGGAGCAAGGGCTTTCTAAGGAGTACGCAGCTGAAAGCCCTTCGAGTCAGCAAGAAAAGATGTCAGTTAAAGGTTACAATGACAAAAACAAAACACATGCTCTTTGTGTGATGCTTTCTGGTATCAACTTATCATCATGTCTATACGATAAGACAGTCTATCCTCTCTGATTGCACACTGAATCTGGGCTCAGCAAGCATAACAAAGCTCAATAAACATTACTCCGTACTAAGAACATTACCTCTTACTCTTGATGACTATTCTTTTCTGTCATAAAGAACATTATTTAGGGTGAATCAAACATGGTGTGCTGGGTTCACTATTTAATTTCCTTTTTTTTTTTTTTTTTTTTCAAAATTTCAGTCTGAGAAGATAGTAGGAATCACATTCTCAATGGGCAGCTACAGGAGAAGGCCCATGACTGGATATAAAAATGAGAGAAGAGTGACAATTTCAGCATAAAATCATTTCAAGTAAACCTAAAGGCACCACATTAACGCAAGATCAAGTTATTTTAAAGCCATTCGGTAACAGGCATGTAAAGGGACTCAAGCAGCTGCAAGAAGAGGAGGCATACAAAAATGAGTTAAAAACTAAACCTACCATCATTGGAAGCCTCACCAAAATCTTTCTGAGATTGCTTACCTAGTCTGTATTTCTGCAAGAACGAAAAAGAAGGCCATGTTACTAACAGGATGCAAGCCAATTTTAAGCTCCACTGATAAGTTGATATTTTCCTTTACATTTTACCAAGAAGGGGTTAAGGGAAGAGAAGAAAATTAAAGAATTAAATCACACCTGGAGGTGACTCTTCAGGTGGAAGAGCGTAAGCCCCTTTACACCCATTGTGCGCATGATGGCCTTTGGAGTAGCTTCTGCAAGCAGATAGACTAGTAAATGACTGAAATTATATGCTCTAATTATCTATAATGTTCTTAGTCTTGCTCTAACTTCCATTTAAGTTACTGAAATGATAGAAAGAATACATCTAACCAGATTCATTTCAATCCAGAAAATTTTCATTTCATATCTTGTATTATCATTACTACTCTGACAAGGCCATACACAATTTCTTGATATGATTATCAGCCAAAACAAAATTAATATTTATAGCAGGTAAGTGAGCAAGTTCTTGTCTATGTGAGCTCTTTGGTATTGCAATCAACATTCTCTGTGTATACACTTATTAATTTTTGCAAATACTTTCTATAGCCGAATCTGCTCTACTCTCTGTTGTGCCAGAGTTAATACCCAATTTAGTACTCGACTATAGTGGTTTTTCTAGATTTAGTCCTGAAAGTCTTTTTGTGCTTAATTGGACCCTTGAAGACTATATATCAGGTATTATTGAGGACTCAATTAGGTAAAACCATTAAAGTCAATGACCCAATTAAGCATGAAAAGACGTTTAAGACTAAATCGAGAAAAATCACATTTTCAACCCACTAAGCAACTTAGTACAAACATTCATTTTCATCAATTAGATTCAGCTTTTACAATCTTAACAGGCTCAAACAATGTAGAACTCTAAACCCATACTCGCAATCTGTGAGAAACAAGAAAATGAATGACACATAGGTAGATCACAGCGTATACATAACAAAAAAACATTCATTTTGAATAAACGAAATAAATAAATAAATGTGCTAAAATCCAACTAAAGAAGTCCAATCAGTAGAGTTGAAAGGCGGGGTGAAAGGGATACTGACTACTAGGACCGCCGAGCTGAGTAACGGCGTCAATAAAACGTTCGTGAAGGTCAGCGGTCCAACGGAGGCGCGGCCTTGGATCGGATGTGAGGACCAGACAAGGGTCGCCGGCGCCGGAGACCCTATGGGTCTGAGCGTTGCCATTACTGCCCTGAAGGTGAAGATCTTCCTGAGTTAAGCCAATGGTATCTCTGGGTTGAACCAATCTTGGAAACATCTGATCTTCTCTTCTACTTTGATGCTTTTGAAGTAGAAAACCAAGATTTTAGACCTCGGATTGACTGATGAACAGAATGGCGAGAGATTTTGAGTAGAAAAATATTCTCAATTTTTGTGTACGGAGTACCATTAATAGTATAGAGTATTATTATGCATTGTTCCCAAAGAGTATTATTATGCAATACATAAATCATTGTTCCCTTTTTCACAAAAAATAAAAAAAATAAAAATAAAAAATCATTGTTCCCAAACTCAATACATAAATCTGGGAAATTAGTAACTGACCAAGTTTTATTCTCAAATTTTACTCACTTTTAAATTTTTTATATAGACATTTTTTTGAGAGCCACATGATAATAATAGTCTATCATTTATTTGTAACATCAAGAGTAAAAATGATTGAGTAGAATTTAAAATTTGAAAGTACATGCAGTAGAACTTCATAAATCATGAATGGTTTAATTTTATTGGTTAATTATGCCATTTTTTTTTATAAAAAAATTAGGTTTGTTTCATTATCCAATATTTTGGTCACACAAAAATGAATTTCAATAATAATAAAAAATAATTCAAAATCATCTCATTCTTGGAGGTCGGAGCTTAGAGTAGTTGATTCGTTGTTTGACTTAAAGGTCATGACGGGAGATAACAGTGTGTGGGTCAAATTTCACTGGAGTATGGAAAGTCTGGAGGAGGGTCAAATCCCACTAGATCGGAGTAACGTCGAAGATTTAGAAATGGGATCCAGTGAGCTTAGATTCTCATAAGTATAAAATAAAATAAAATAAAGAAATAAGAATTAAACCCAAAATAAAATGTTGGCGCCTCGAATATCTAAATCCCTTCATTTATATATGTTTTTTCATTTTTTTATATATTACTCTATAAGTGTTGTACTATACATTTTCTGGGATAAAAATGCGCATACAGTTATAACTTTCGTTATCTTTTTCTATTGTTATTGTACACATGCATACACCATATTTTTTCCATGATAATAATATATGTAGACATTATATTAGAATAATATAATAAATAAATTTAATTTTATTTATATTTTAATGAAAAAAAGAGTCAAATACACCCTCCAACATTTTATTAGAAGTCAATTAAGCTCTCAAACTTTTAAAAGTTACGAATAGACACATTGTTAACATATGAATTTAGTGCATAAAGGTCCAAAAACACGTTAGTAACCTGAAATAGTAAGTTACTAGTGCTTGGCCAGGGACGGAGGGACATGCCACTTGCAGGGGGCCTTGGCCCCCCCCCCCCTCCCCCCCCCCCCCAACAATTTTTTTTTTATATATAATTAGTATTAGCCTATTAGGCAATATGGGGCCTCGGCGGCTTGGCACCACCCCCCCCCCCCCCCCCCCCCCCAAAAAAAAATATATATATTATTAGTGTAAGTCAATTGTGGCCCTTCATTAGTCAATAGTCATCGAAATATTTTTCCTCCTCAAACAAAGCTTCTTGTGTAAGCTTTCACAAGTTAACCCAATTCCAAACCAAACCTGCAACCCGCATACTGGACTGCTCGAAACTCGAAAGCAATACGCAAATCAAATTTGAAAGAAGATAAGAAATACACACAAATCACGAATCAAAGCAATACACACAAGCCATTTCTCTTCCATTTTCAAGCAGCAAATGTATAGGTAATTTTACATTTCTTTTTTATTAGTTAAATCTTTGAATTTTTTTTTTATGAATTATTCTTTATTGGAGATAAATTCATCATTCTTCACTACAATAAAAAGTCTAGATATTGTAGTTAAATGGTAGCTAAATGCCTAAATTCTCTCTTTCGTTTCTTCAGTTGACGATGGCAACCGCGGTGAACTCGGGCAACTGGCTACGAGTAGTGCCGGCTGGAAGCTGGATCCTGTTTGGAGTGTCGGCCTTCTCCTTTTGTTGGTGTATGTTTATACTTTTAAGAGTTCTATAAGATTTAATTTGCTAGAATTTAAATACTAGTGCATAATGAAATGGGTCATTTGATGAGTTTTGAAAATGACAGTATTAGTTGAGGAATATATGCCATTGTTGTGGATTTGAGATGATGTTCTAATTACAGAAAGGGTCAGTGTTATATATGATGATTTTAGCTAGGAGAAAGAGATCAGAAGCTAGCATATTCAATTCATGCAGACAAAAAATTAGATCATTAGAATGCCAAATCAACTTAAACTAAAAATTAGTTAAGAAGAAGTTAGAACCATTGATGTTACTACTCTATCTTTTCATAGACAACATAATATATAATTTATATAGTATATATAGTTTATGCATGAGGAGTAATTAGGTGATTTAATGAGTTTTGAAAATGGCAGTACACAGTATTAATTAGGATTTATTTGTCTTTATTAATTTGGTGATTTGATGTGTTTATTAACTACTGTATTATATAGTTAATATAATTGTGTTTAATTAGTATATTAATTGACAATACACAATATTGATTTTGATGAGTATTAATTGGCAGTACACAATATCTTTGTTTGTTTATTTTTTTTCTTTTGGGTTTTAGTTAATTCAATTAATTGATCAAAATATTAACCGTGTGAACATGAGAAGATTGAGTTGAAATGAAAAAGACACAAAAAATAGATCTTTTTTTACAAGAAAGAATTCTGAAGATTCAACATCTCAAGTAAATCCATTTGCAAGTATTGAACCATTGAATTCAGAAAGTCGTCCTGAAAAAGCTCAAAGAGTTGAAATCAATGAAAAGTTTGATATTCAAGCATTAGAACGCGATCCGGGATTGAGACTACCAATATGGAAGTGCCCAATTGCGAAGCGTGATGAAGTTAGGAGATCTTATATCAAGGCTGGCCCATATCAATGTTTGCTTTCAAAGTATCCAAAATCGGGAGAAAAACATCCTCGTAGTTTTCAGGCATCTTGGTTTAAGTTATTCCCTTCTTTGTTAGAATATTCTCCTAGTAAAGATGCAGCATTTTGTCTACCATGTTATTTGTTTCATACTCAAGATGGGCCTTCCGGATTGGATGCTTTTACTATCAATGGGTTTAGATCATGGAAGAAAGTTAGAGATGGAAAAAATTGCTCATTTTTAGCACATATTGGGAAAGATTTCACCTCCCCTCACCGAAATGCCGAGAAAGCTTGTGCGGATCTCATGAACCAACAATCACACATTGCACAACATATTGAGAAATTCACATCTCAAGAAATAGCAGAGAATAGACTTCGCTTGAGAACTTCAATTGAGGCAACAAGATGGCATGCATTTCAAGGATGTTCTTTTAGAGGTCATGATGAGTCAATAACATCAACGAACCGTGGAAACTTTTTAGAGCTATTGAGTTTCATTGCCTCTTTTAATGATGAAGTAACAAAAGTTCTTGATAAAGCTCCACGAAATGCATCATATACATCACCAACAATACAAAAGCAAATTTTGCAAGTGTTGGCAACTAAAGTAAAAAGTGCAATCCGAGAAGAAATTGGTGATGCAAAATTTTGTATCATTGTTGATGAAGCTCGAGATGAATCAAAGAAGGAACAAATGTCAATTGTCTTGAGATTTGTTGATAGAGATGACTTTATACAAGAGCATTTCTTTGGAGTTGTTCATGTTAAGGACACTAGTGCATCAACATTGAAAGAGGACATCTTTTCTATCTTATCTCGTCATAATCTTGATGTTCAAAATATTTGGGGACAAGGTTATGATGGTGCAAGTAACATGCGTGGAGAATGGAATTGATTGAAAGCTTTAATTTTGGATGTATGTCCTTATGCTTATTATGTTCATTGTTTTGCACATCGATTGCAATTGGCATTAGTAGCTTCATCAAAGGAAGTCATCCCTGTCCATCAGTTTTTCACTAAGTTAAACTCCATTATTAATGTTGTTGGGGCTTCATGTAAGCGCAATGACCAATTAAAAGCTGCTCATGCCTCAAATATTTCTCATTTGCTTAGTATTGATGAGCTAGAAAGTGGGAGGGGCCTTAACCAAATTGGTTCTTTACAAAGGCCAGGTGATACTCGCTGGAGTTCTCATTTGAAATCTATATCAAGTTTGATGAGAATGTTTAGTGCAACATGTGAAGTTTTACTTAATATTATTGAAAATGGAACTACATATGCTCACCGTGGAGATGCCGATGCAGCTTATGAGGTACTCACTTCTTTTGAATTTGTATTCATTATGCATCTCATGAAAAAAGTTTTGGAGATTTCTAATATGCTTTGCCACAACTTCAATCTCAAGATATATTGAATGCAATGCATCTTGTATCATCTACTAAATTGCTTATTCAAACTTTAAGAGATAGTGGATGGGATGAATTAGTTGCAAGTGTGAAGTCTTTTTGTGAAACTGTCAATATAACTGCGCCGGATTTTGATGCTCAATATATTGCAAGAAGAGGAAGGGCTAGACATCAACAAGATGAATTAACAATTGGGCATCATTGCAAAGTTGATATTTTTTATGCGGTGATTGATTATCAGTTGCAAGAGTTGAGCAATAGGTTTGATCATAAAGCAATGGAGTTAATTGTTCTCAGTTCATCGTTAGATCCAAAAGAGATGCATATATCATTCAGAATTGATGATGTTTGCAAGTTGGTAGAGAAGTTTTACCCACAAGACTTTGAAGATTATGAGACTTTGCAATTGAGAGTGCAACTTGAACATTTTGAACATGTGCAACAACTTCCTAATTTTAAAACACTAGAAAGTATTTCTGATCTATGCCGATGGTTGGTAAAAACTAGAAAATCGAACATTTATCCTCTTGTGTTCAGAGTAGTAACTCTTGTTCTCACACTTCCAGTATCTACAGCTACTACAGAATGATCTTTTTCTGCCATGAATATAGTCAAGACTACACTTCGTAACAAGATGGAAGATGAATTTCTTAGTGATTGTTTGTTAGTATACATTGAAAAGCAAATTGCAAAACAATTTAGTATAGATTCAATTATAGATGATTTTCGTGATATGCAAGAGAGACGGTCTAAATTTTAGTAGATTTGTAATATAATGATGTATTTTGGAACATGTTAAATGAATATTATAATATTTCATTATTCTGTCTTAAATCGTGGCTGGCCCCCCGCATTGGTTAATCCTGGCTCCGCCCCTGTGCTTGGCTAAACTCCGGCGACCACCAGATCAAATTCCGATCCGGGGACCTTACCTAATATGGCCACCTTCTCCAGCAGGGTAGATGGTCGCCAGACGTTCAAGCATGGTATCAAAATAGGATTAACAACAATGGCTTGCTACTCTTGTGCTGCAGTAATGGGAGCAAACCCCATGCTAATAAAATCTTCAAAATTTCAAAATTTCACTCCCAACTATCATGAAAATAATTCTCAAAACCAACAGACCCCTTTCTATCCTTCATTGTTCAAGCTTCAACTTTTCCTTAGAAACACTTTCACAGTTGGAAACGGAGGAAGAAGATGACGAAAACGGGAATAGGTTGGCGTCATTTTCAACGGTGACGGGGAGTTTGCCGCCGTTGAAACAGAAAAGAAGGAGGTATAGAAAGCAATACCCTGGAAGTGGCAGTGAAGAAGTAATGGAGGAAGCCGAAGCCAGTGATAGTGACAGGTGGGTTTCAGTTGATGAAGATGATGACAGTGATGGAAATGGCAAGTCTTAGCAGCCTAGTATGGAAGGATTCTTGAAGTACCTTGTGGATAGCAAGCTTGTGTTCGGCACAATTGAATGCATTGTTGATGAATCCAACGATGTTTCTTGTATGTATTCTTCAGATTCTGCTAAATCTTCTCAGGAAGGGTCGTCGGTGTTTGCCGGAGTTGGTCGGAAGGTTGCCGGAGTGACGTGTTATTACATGTCACTAATTGGTTTTTGGATTTCAATGTACTAAAATGACATATTGACGTGTTTAATTGTAACTTTTGAAAGTTTAAAGGCCTATATTAAACTTTTCGAATAAAATTTAGGGGGCTATTTGATCATTTTTCCTATTTTAATTAGTAAAGATTAGGCATCTACAACAATGATTTTTAGGAGATTTGTTGCATAAGAAAAAATTAACTAGGTTTCTCAAAAAAGAAAAAATTAACTAGGTTAGGTTTTTTGAACTAATGTGGGAGGAGTTTTTTTCCTACAAGTATTTTGTGGGTCCCAGCTTTGAGAAATAGACGCACAAATTGTGCTTTACAGACACTACCTATACCTAGTTACTGCACATGTCAGCTGGGCGCGTGAATTTTTTTTTTTTTTGTCATAATTGTTTTTTCTTTCTTTTCTTTTCTTTTTATCCCCTTTTTTTGTCTTTATCCACTCTCCTACTTTGACGGACAAAAACCTAAAAAAAAAAAACTAATACTATTGAAGTTGCTCTTAGTTAGTTATTTCTTTAAATATAAATAAATAAATAAATAAATAAATAAATAAATAAATATATATATATATATATATATATATATATATATATATATATATATATATATATATATATATATATATATATATATATATATATATATATATATATATATATAACTGGGTTCTGGTGCGGGTGGGCACCTCAGGTGCGAATGTGTGGTTTAATCTGAGACATTCATCTCGTTTAAATCAACGTCCAAGATTACCAAAATTAAATTAAAAAATGCGGTGGCATTTTGGTAATTTTTGCATCCCGGTAAATTTGATGTGTTTGGGTTTGGACTTAATGTGCGTGGGATTTGTGCTTAAGATGTGTGGGATTTGTGCTTAATGTGCGTGGGGTGTGTGCTTAATGTGCGTGTGGTTAGCGATTAATGTCAGTAATTATTTAAACTTAAAGTGTGTGAGTTAATACTTAAAGTGCATCAATTTAATGCTTAATGTGCATGAGGTTTGTGCTTAATGTGCGTGAATTTTATGCTTAACGTGCGTGAGTTTGTGCTTAATATGAGCCATTTTAAAATCTTAAGTGCGTGGGTTTTGTGTTTAGTGTACTTTGTTCTGTGCTTAAGGTGCGTGGTTTATGTACTTAATGTAAGTGATTTGTGTTCTTAAGGTGCTTTGTTTGTGTGCTTAACGTGCGTGGTGATTTGTATACCTAAGATGCGCCCATGTTAATATTGAAGATGCGTCCAACCGCACAACCGCACGGGAAGCTTTTACCGCACCTGAACCCTTCCCTATCAAAGTCATCAAACCGTATAAATCTAGGCACACAGGCCACTAGACTAGGCACACGGGCCACTAATCTAGGCACACAAGCCAACAAAAGATAAACGTCTAAGAATGGGAGCTACACTATCTAGCGTCCACATCTAGCGCGCTCGGCATCTACTCAAAACCTGTAAAACATGGGGATAACACCCGGTCAGCGAATAATGCTAGTAACCCACCAACACGCGTTAAGTATCATAATATACATAGATATAATCAAAACCATTTGAAATTGAGAATACAGTATATATCATTTTAAAGCCGAGAGAAGAAACATCAATAGGCTCATCAATCACTCACAACAAAGGTCAAAGACCATCATACTCAACAAGACAATAGAACCACAAGCAAGAAGCTCAACAACAAGGTACACCGTATGATGCACCCAACCGTTCACAAGGTAGAATACATCAAGACATGCTCATAAGCAAGGGAGGCAAGATTCACACCATAACGAGTTCCAAGTCCACATAGGACACAATCACACCAAGTCATATACCGTGGAGTCAGCACCACAGCTCGATTCATAGTGGAACAATGTGGAGGGCTCCAAATCATCAATCACGTATCACGTAGTCATCGCAACGACCCGGATCACATGCATAGTGTCATCGCAATGACAAGGACCGCAGCCCAATGGAAATAGAGCTAGCAACTTTAAGTGTATACACCCCCTATTGAGATTCCAAGCTCAACGAGTTAGCTACCATATCTGGCAACTGGAATGAGTTTCCCATGTTGCCCACAAGTAAAGTATCCAAACAGCAATCCGGAGCTTTAAACCCACTACCGGATGGCAGTCACACATAAGTCCCCACACTGTCCACTTTACCAGCTCAATCATCTCATCACATCAATCCATCATCTCAACAAGAGTCAATATACACGGAGTCTAGAGATATAACAACACCTAGATTCCACACAAAGTGTGCACAACAAGGACAAGCTCAACAATAGCTTAATCAAGGAATGATCATACACACGGGATCGCATCAAGGGATTCAATCAAGGGGTTTCAATAAAAGACATGAAACGATACTCAACAACAACAATAGACCTCAATCCAATGCCAACATGATTGGCAACACGAGTTGCCAATCCTCAATAGAAAGGGACAAACAACACATACTAGCAACAATGGCACCAAGACTAGCATGCATATCAAACGGTTAAACCAAAAGGGTTCCAACGAACCTTCAAGACTCATATTCAATGTTGAAAAAATCGCTAGGCGCCCTCTAGGCGCCTGGGGGCCGCCTAGGGTGCCTAAAGCGCCTAGGCGGGCGCCTAGAATGCCTAGGCGGGCGCCTAGAGCGCCTAGCCGGGCGCCTAGGTGCGATTTTTGCAACAGTGCTCATATTAGTCCAACGAATCTCAAGGTTGGACCGTTAGCACGATTCAAGACACCAAATCCTACCACGGATTCCTAAAACATCGTTCTAGACATACGAAACATCAAGAAGACTCACAAAAGCCCAACAATTCAACAACGGGAGGCCAAAACATCAAGTACCAAAGAGGAAAGGACCACAGGGAACAATTCACCGCAGTCACCAAACATGTTCCCCGCGGGTGGGGCTCCACCCGCGAGGTACGTCCTGCCCCAAAAATCAGCATCCGCGATTTTTCTTCTACAAGGCCAAGTTCAAGTCCAAATGACCCCAAATCTTCCACACAACAAAGATATGACTTGAACCTATGAATAGCTCATATAATAGCATTCAAGAACCCTAAATACAAGCTCTAAACATGCATTATCACAAGATCATGCATCAATCACTCCAACACATCAAGAATATCACATAGAAGCCAACAATCATTATTATCAAGTGAAAATATATTTTGTGTAGCATGGGTTATCTTTGTAGCCAATTTATCAAAAGGGGAACCTGCGAATTAAACCGGATCTTCACTAATTAACGAATAGGCTACACAAAACTAATGTAAAAATAGTTTACATTATTATTATTATTATTATTATTATTATTATTATTATTATTATTATTACACAATAATGTAAATATCTAAAATATTTCAATATAACTAAGGGTTCGTTTGGAAATCTGAAAATTATTTTCT